CTTCAATGTTTGTCTGTTTACATTGTTTAGAAACTTATAGTTGCTTCTGCCTTCATCTAACCTCCCTTTTTGTGTGTGTCACTACAGAATATAAAGCATGTGTACACATCTGAATTCAAACCGTACGTGGTGTTTGTGAAGCCCCCTGGTATCAAGGAGCTACATCTCACCAGATGGTGAGCTAAATTCATTTCCAATGAGGAGGACGCAAATACAGTCAAGAGCTTTGTGGTAAGACAAAACACACCACTAAGTAATGTATGTGAAGACAAGTGTCTAGTAGCATGCTGAGCAGTGTGAGGTCAAACACTACTCACCGATCAAACAATGTTTTTTCATGTAAATGCTACACCACCTAGACCTTTAACTGGGCTGAATAGTGCCTTTAAAGACTATAGCATTCTGTTAATACCTATGATGAACTCTGTGATCTTGGTTCACAGGAGGAGGAATTTAAGGACATGACATGACTGATTTGGCTGAAACCATGGAGAACCAGTACGGTCACCTGTTTGACAAAGTGGTTGTTATCGGAGATATTGCTGTGGCGTTCAGAGAGCTGAAAGCAGACCTAGAGCAGATCGAAGAGGAAGAAGTCCAGTGGATTCCTGCAGAATGGAATTGCTCCTTGCCAACAAAAGCATGGAGAGGTTGTGGTGACTTGACTGGCTGGATTTGAGCTCTTTAGACACAGAAAACTATAATGTAATTAAATTTCTCCTGATCAAAGAATGCGAATGTCTTAATAGTGAACTGTGCCCATATTTTATAGGACACACAGAAAGAACAAAGTTCATTAAATGGATATAAGATATACAGTTAAACTTAGACACCTTGAACCTGACAGGATTTTTTACAAACGATATTTCAAATGTTTTTTTCCATTTTTAAATATGTCCTGTGATTACCAGAGTTTTCCATTGTCCCTTGATATGTATCTAATCCCCCCACCCCCAATCTCTCTCAGAGCCAGTTTTTCTGTTGGCATTTGGCTGAAATTATGTCATCTCCTAGAATGAAGAGGAAAAAAGCTAAAAAGCTACTCTCCAGAGCTTGTGGCTGAGTGTAATCCTTCCCTGCCAAGTCACAAACATCAGCATGTAATTATTCTGACAGCTGCTGCACTCCAATTAACTGTAATGTACACCAGAGAATATTATTAGTAGCAGTCAGACAGATGGTTTGCCAACAATATGCTGTACAGAATAGGGACAAAAACAAGATAACAGCCAGTTAAAGACTGTAGGTAGAAAATATAACTTTTTATATGTGTAAGTTGTAGAATTGTGTATAGTTATCCATGAGGACTTCAGAAGTTGGTGCCAGTTACAATCACTAGTATCTTGGCTGTTGACGTTAAGTGTTAATCATGAAAAGGCCTTTATTTTTTTAACAGAAATGTACTGAAATTATTAACAAAATAATTGGTAATGACTTATTGAAATGTCATGAGCATCATAACCATCTGTTGGGTGAAAATTCTTCCATTCTCCTTCGCACAAGCTGCTTAATCAAATTCTTTTTAGAGGCCGCATTCCTCTATATTCATGGTATGTCCTTCCTCTTTTGGATGCTGTGCTCAGCTGTGTGTGAAGGAGCTTTAATATGTCTATCATTTTGTGTTTGGGAGAAAAACAGAGCAGCACGATGTGGGGAGACGGTAATGGCTTTCAAGGAATTTGGGCCTTCGTAGACATAGATGCAGAGAAAGTTACAGCTGCACATAAAAGTCTACTGTGAAAGCAAACTGAGGCCCTACATAGTAGATTAGACTGCAAGGATAAAGAGCACACTATCAAGTCTGGTATTCGTTTTACTTTGGCAAGCTTATTGTCACTGTCAAGCACAAGTGAGTACACAAGGAGGAGAGAGGCATAAATAGAGGGTTGGTTTGGACATACATTCATTAGTATGTCTACACGTCTCCTTTTCACCAAATTGTCCAAACCAGGCTGTCAGGACAACAGTCGCACTTCTGCCAGGTCTGCAGCCCGGCCTGAGCCAAAGCGTGGCAGTGTAATTTCATCACACCACTGAGAATCTGCAGGCACCCTCTGAGATCATAACGATGCCATTAAAGACACCAGAGTGATCCAATGAAAACCTACTGTTATATGTTGACAGCAGCTCCCACTTCAAACATTACACAGAAATATGATGTCAGTTCGTCTCGGATCATTTGGCTCACTCATGTAACTGTGTGCTCAAAGCACATAAAAACAAATATGACAGATGTTAAACAATATCTTCATCTGTGCCTGAGATATCCATAATGGTTAAACAACCAACACAGTAAAGCACATACTGAATGTACATGGGACTATAGCAGGAAGGGGAAATGGTTGTAGTACATTTACAATACTGTAAATTTAAAGAGTCATCTAATGAATCCTGTTTGCTTATACTGATGCATTAAAGCCTGACTATGCCATCAGAGTAACTCAACCTTCCTCTTAAGAATAAAGAGTTGAATTAATTCATTTCTTGCTCAATTTAATCAGATCACTGGAAAAATAACAAGTCATCATTCCTGCAGAATCACAAGAGCAGTAGATATTTCTGTAGATCAGTTGCCTCATTTTGCTCTCCCAGGGCTTCCATGGCTCACTCTGGATTTAAAACTAATAAAGTGGGAGTTTGATTATAGCCACATTTTAATTGCAAAAAATTCTTTAATTTCCAACACGATTACTGACAGTGTATGTTTTTACTCCATAACTGCAACCTAGAGCAACATGAGGGTATTGTGACGGTAACTTGGAATAAAAACTAAACCTTCTGATGTCTTTTATAAGAAAAATAATGCACACACTGTTAAATATTTCCCTTGACTATAAGTCAGACATGTTGTAGACTCCTTTTCTCCCCTTCTCAGCTTTGACTAAGCCTCTGTCAGACCACGTTTTCATTACTCACAGTCTGACATTACTGATTTTTTAAAATTTGCATCACATATGTGCAATACTTTGTTCATCATCAGACAGAAAAAATAAAAATGAGACCCCTACAATTCCTGCATTTATTTACAAAAAAAATTCTTAGCCTTACTTCAACATCTGGAAATGTATATTGTTAATGTATGAATTCAACTCTGTAGACCTTTATTTAACACAAGCAAGGAAATACTGGTGATGAGGACTTTAACAGGTGAGAGTGAACAATAACAACAAACAAAACACTGAGCTAAAAGACACGATGATGTTTTTCAGACCTGAGAGGAGAAATGTGTGATAATTCTATGGGTTTGTCTCTATGAGTAACACCCTGGTCACTTTATATGCAGTCACTGGATCAATGATTAATTAAAAAATATAGATTAGCACAGCTTTAAAGCAGCTGACTCCAGACAACCTTAAGCTGGTATAAGTTGCAAAGTCATGCAGCAGTGGTATGAAAACCATCATATTCCTTCATTATAATCTACTGAAGCAATATGTCTAAATTAGAATGAATGTATTATCTAAATTTGGCCAAAGTTAACTTCTTCAGGATTTATTTGAAGCTACAAAAATTAGTTTCTCCAACATGTTTAGCTAACGTCTGGCCTGGAGTTTGTGAACCTGCAGGACATGCACACACACACACACACACACACACACACACACACACACACACACACCACTGCCAAACCATAGAAACAAAGAAAAATATATCTCCTTCCACTGAATTTTTACAGGTCTCCTGGCTGCCGAATGTAGGCGTGTTCCCATCTAATATCAACAGCTGAGCCAGTGAGCATATCGCAGAGGAACAAGAGCAAATGGTGTGTGATAGCATGTAGCATTCTCCGACAACTGCTGAGGAATGTGAGCGAGGAATTTACTGCACCTAACGGGGATGCTTCTGGTCCATGTGTTTTTCAACTTTGAAACCACTGAAACTGAGCCTCCCCACTGATACTGCTGAATTATGGGCAGGAATGAGACCTGTGGAGTCCTTTAATATGTTTAACGGTCTAACAAGTGCTGACCAGATTTTAGTCTTAACTTTCAAAAGTTCAAACCGTAGAGCAGAAATACACATTTTATTACATTTGTATAAAGATTATTAAATTAAGATCATGCATGGCAAAGTCATTACTGTGTGTACAAGCAGTACATCTTACATAAAAGTGTTTGGATGTCAAGAGGAAAAACCTACGCAAATGACAGCTAAAGTTGAACCATCAAGTCTTCCAGTACTGGGCTCTGTGCCCACATGTTGTCATAAAGTAGCACAAATGACAACCCTAAGCTTCTGTCAGACATAGCTTTCATAACTCTTCATAATCCAAAATGGTGACAAACCACCGGATTATTACTCACTCTGTAAGCAGTGTAAATGATGCACAGTTTTGACACTTACATGCGCATGTTAACACACTTACAGACAAAATATGTGAGTTACATGTGCAACACTGTCTGAGGATTATAAAGGCAAAGATCAGTTTCATTTTCCAGAGATTATGTTGTCTTCAATATGAGCCAATTTGTACTGTAATCCATTTGAACGCAGGATTCAGACTAACACGAGTCACAGTTTGGTGGATTTGCTGGTTATTAGCAACCATGTAATTACTATAATATATGCCCATAAATTTCCACAATCTCCTGGTGAAACATGTATCATTATTTGCTGACACAATTTTTGGTAACACCACAAGATCCACGAGAATCATACGCCTCATGTAGAAAATATGAGAGTACTGTATGTCAATCTGCAGTCAGAGCCTCACTTGTAAATTCAGTGACCACATTTGCTAATATTCTTACTTTTGCAATATTTTTCAAATGGTGGGGTTCTACTACTGCTACTGCTGCTGCTCGGTGAGCTTTTCTTCCAGGAGCTCTCCAGAAAAGCGATTGGATGACGGGAGAGCCAATAGGTGGCAGAGCAGCAGGTTATTTGAACTCTCCTCACAGAACTCCACAAAAGCAGACAACGTACTCTGACTTTTCAAACATTTATTCTGCCTGTCATCCTCCGTCTGCTCGGTCCCAGCTCCTGTAGTGGGCACAGAAAGAAGAGCAAGGAACACTTTTAACATTTGATTACTTTTTCATCAAGTGTACCAAAGATGGGAACCTACTGCTTCTACTTACATTTGGAAGTCTACTCATGCACCTGTTATTGAGGAAAACCATCTGTGTGTAAGATTGAACAAAGTTGCTGTGATGAAGTCCGATACTCTGATTCATTTGGAGAATAACAGAGGAACAGACGACAGGAGCAGATCGAACCGTGCAGACTCGCCTCAGACCAGTTTACCAGACGGACAGAACGCAGACCTGCTGCAGTGTCAGGAGACCAGTGAACACAGCTCTTCTATAAAGTACAGAAGATATGGGTAAGCCCTTTTGTGGGTGTTGGAAATATGTGGTAGCTGATTTTATGGCATGATACAGTTTTATTTTGTATTGTAGTTAAATATGTATCATAAGTATTATGATCAGTTACAGTATTATTAATTATATTGCAAAATTATATTGTAAGAGGTGATGCTCCAGAATTACATTATGTCTTAATAAACTTTTATTTCTGTCTTTACATAGATTGTTAAATAGTCCTTTATAATGTTTTTTAGAAATGGAAGATAATAAATAGAATTACCATCAACTCCATGATGTTGTATAACCACTACAATTCCTTAAGTGCTTCAAGCTCTTTGGTTTGTCAGTATCATAGTTCACACAAACACTTTAGTGGGTTTTGTGAATTAGGTGATTCTTGGCTCCTACAGGTCTCGTCTGGGTGGGGTCAAAGCTCGCCACAAGAGACAGGTGCTGCAAGATATGGCTCGGCCCCTGAAACATTGGCTGTACAAACACAGAGACAACCCTTACCCTACCAAGACCGAGAAGGTCCTGCTGGCTTTGGGCTCACATATGACGCTAGTACAGGTGAGACAAGAAACAAGAGCAGCGATGAGGAATAAAGAGAAAGTGTGTTCAGGGATGCGTTGGCATTAAAATTTCTGTGACATGAGAATTGAACCAGTCCTGTCCTCTAACAAGTGGAATCTGTACAGGTTTCAAACTGGTTCGCAAATGCCCGGCGGAGGCTGAAGAACACAGTGAGACAGCCAGACCTGAGCTGGGCCCTGAGGATCAAGTTTTATAATAAATACATCCAGGGGAATGCTGAAAGACTGAGTGTGTGCAGTGATGACACTGTGTCTGATGGTGAGAACTATAGTTTGTTTTTATCCTTTATTTAAGTTTGTTACTCGTGCATTTTTTCTTACATGCAAAGAGACTTTGCCCCCTGAAACAGCAGTAGTCATCATTTGTAAAGTGCTAATTCACAACAACAATCATCTCAGGGCACTTTACATAATAACGTCTAGACATTACACTATTCTAAAGAAAACCCAGCAAATCCCCCTTGAGCAATGACTTGGTGACAGTGGAGAGGAAAAACTTTCTTTAACAGAGGAATGTATAAATCATTTAAGACTGAGATAAGTTGTTTTCTTTCCCCTTTGCTACAGATGAAGAGTGCCCCTTACAAACGCCCACCAGCCAGTCAAACTTTGGCAGGTCATCTTCTCATAAGAGCATTCTGGAGAAGCAGGGCAGTGTTCTCGCAGTGGCTGACTCCGCCAACATTGATGACGGTGCATCGCCCCCGTCCAAGTACAAGAGCAGTTTACTGAATCGGTATCTGAACGACACCCTGCGGCACATGATGGTGACAAAGGTCGATGGCATCGGACAAGGAGGAGCCACTCTGAGTCATTCAGCTCCAACGAATGCGACAGAGACGTTGTCTCTCCGGCTTCATCCTATGAAACTGAGGCCAACTTTGTCTGCCACATGGGTGAGAGATAACAGTTTCTTTTCTGTAGGGGAAAATCATCAGTTTAACACAAAATTTGCAATTAGTATGTATTACATCAGATACATCCCAGCATTATCCACAAAATCATAACAGTTAAGAAATCAAAAACAACATAGTGGGTAAATTGGGAGGAAAAGAAGCAATAGCACCCCCTGTCCACTGAAATCATTAAAGCATCCTTCCTTGTTGACTGTAGAGTTATGTTGAACATGAGGTAAAATGACAATTTTAACTACCCTGCTTCCCTTCACTTCAATTTAACACCCATGAGTATATGGTAAAGTCAGAAGAGAACGAAAAGAAACTTCCACGTCTCCTCAGAGCTCCCTGACATTAATAAAGCCCTGGCATTCCACCCAAAGTCAGAAGCTCAGTGAGATTCAATTACAAAGTTACAGTGAAACTGGGAAGGAGTTTGACACCATGCTGCCTTTACAGACCAATAGGGAGCACATCACACACTGACAACCCTCAAATCCACTAAGGTACAGGAGCCAAAGCCTCTACAAACATTACTAATAAAGACTGCAGCCACTGAAATCCCTCATTTTAAAACTGGATGGAACTCATTCTGGCTGCTGCTGCACACCACAAATATCATTTCCATATACTAGAATGTGCCATTTGCTCTGCTTCTGCTTCTTGCCATGGTGGAAATGTCCAGGCCAGCCTCAAGAACAATTACAGAATGTCTGAGACTTTATACTTCCCAGGGTGAGAAGTAGAAACTTCAGCCAAAATGTAGAAATAGAGCAGTCTGTCAGTAAAGCACCAAAAATACATCTCAGAGAGCAACTGTCGGAGCTGCCGCTCAGCTATGAGACGATGCAGAGTTTATATTGATTTGGCTTTCCCCATCAGTGTCTGAGGGTGTTGCTTGGCTTCACTGACTCATGTGTGCTTTGGCAGTCTGCCTCTCCCAAGTGTTGCTTTCCTGCTCAGTATCAATCTAAATTTATATTACTTTGTAAGAGTTGGTGAAAAGGGTTTTTGAAAACAAATTTTCTTTTGAAAAAGCAACAAACATACTACTCCATATTAAATATGATGCACTGTAAATTCTAACAATTCAAACAATTACTTAAAAAAGGAGGAATCCTATTAGCTTGGGAAAATTAAGTAAAAGAACTTTACTAAGTCAAGCTGTATGAAATGATTATGTGGTTAAAATGAACACACATCATTTGAGCAAGCTGAAATTACACTCAGTGTCCACTTCATTACATACCTCTGTACAGTTGTATGCACACTTCCACCTTAACATTTGAGTTTATGAAGCTCAAAATGTTTTGTTTTTTTGGTGAAATTGTCATAAATGTAGAAATTCAATTATATGTTTATTATTGAGGTCATAGTTGGTGATTTACTGGACTGCATTATATTTTCAGGGGTGTCTCTATAATTTTGTCCTTCCCAGCGACATACATGAGAGGGTCAGAATATTAGGAACACCTCTGAATATAACATTAAGTTGGCTGAAGTCACATGGACAGTCGCTGTAGATAGGTTTACTTTCCTTTTACATCTCAGTTTGAAAAGTCAGTTCTTTATTTGATATGAAGAACTCACAGCTGCAGCTGTTGGAGGCACTTTGTACAAAGGTCAGTACAAACACAGCATTAAAGGCTGCCCCAGCTGCTTTGTTAATTTCTAAGTGTACAAGGATAGGGACTGCATAGTTTGCAGTGCTTTTACATTTGTGAAAAGAAACATCCATCCATCCATTTTCCTCCGCTTATCCAGGACCGGGTCACGGGGGCAGCAGTCTAAGCAAAGATGCCCAGACTTCCCTCTCTCCAGACACTTCCTCCAGCTCCTCCGAGGGAGCACCCCCCACAGGGCGCTGCGAGGGACACGGTCGAATGCCTTCTCCAGATCCGCGAAGCACATGTGGACTGGTTGGGCAAACTCCCATGAACCCTCCGCCACCCTGAAGAGGGTATAGAGCTGGTCCAGTGTTCCACGGCCAGGACGAAAACCGCATTGTTCCTCCTGAATCCGAGGTTCGACTATCGGTCAAATTCTCCTCTCCAGTACCCTGGCATAGACTTTCCCGGGGAGGCTGAGGAGTGTGATCCCCCTATAGTTGGAACACACCCTC